CGTTCGCCTATAGTTGAAACGATGCTTCCCAGGTAGGTAGGTAGGTAGGTAGGTGAAGGAGGTTGTTTCTTTCAGGTTCCTCCCATTTATGCTGATTGTTGTCTGTTGTTGTTGTCGCTGTTGGTGTTAGCCAGGAATCTTCATCACCTCTGTGTCATAACCGCTTGTAATGTTCCAGAGCCAATGAATTCTCATTATTCTTCGTGTAGTTATTCTTTTTGCACTAAGTTTCCATTTATTATAGTTTCTTTGCATTTCTGTTTCCCTCTACCTTTATGCTTTTTATTTTCTGAAGTGTGGAAACTTGAACTACTTGAGTTTTATACAAAGTTCCAGACTAAAATCTCAGTCCATTTCTCTGCAGTGATGAATAGACATAGACAAATAGCTCCTTTTTTTTCTTATAGCTAAGCGGATATAACCACTTAGACAATCGGTAGGGTTGATATCCAGTTGTCGGTCTGGTTTCAATTCTCTTTTTCTCTCACTTAAGTAGTCAGCTGATCTTATATTTAATAAAATATTATTATTATTATAAGAAAACGTTAGTGATAATCAAGCAGTATGCGTGTACATAATATTGAATTATTGTGTTACTTAAGTTATTGCGTCAATTGCGAATTAACTACACCTCAGTGATCACACAAAACAGTTGTATGCTTTTCGATGATCATTGCGTCAGTTATTATGTCATCTGAATTGGTCCAAGATTTTTTATTGTTTGGCTGAAATCTCATTTCGAGTCTCTCGCTCTTTCCAACTATCCATATATTGTTGTTTTAATTTTTTTATTTTAAATTATGAAAACTCGTTTTTTTTTCTCCGTTAATTTCACTCGATGATTAAGGGAAACTGCTATTACCGCTGCTACTACTTTTCAGTTAAAGCGAAAACTGTCTATCTGTTACCTTCTCTCTCTGAGTGTGCATATGTGTGCGTGTATGTTTCTGGTGATATATATACATTATAGTTTCATCTGTTCGTATAAGTGTTGAGTTTTGCTCTGTTTCCCAAAGTAAAGTTATTAAGGCGACCAGATAAGTGTTATTGATGGGTTATATAAAAAATGCTGATTTGACCTTATTCCCTGTCAATATATATATATATATATATATATATATATATATATGCAAATGGTGAACTTAGTTCATCATGTATTTACTGACCTAAATAACCTGAAGGATTTTCATTTCTTTCTGTCCCCATTAGAGTATAGGGAGAACTTAAAGCTTTTGAAGTTTCAGTTGTGATAGCTGTTTTCTTTTACAGTGTGAGGTTGGTAGTTTCATGCCTAACCTTCGCCCTCTCCCGGGCTCACTGTCAGCTAGTAAGACAGGCAGAGTTTAAGAATGCATCGGTCGGGAATAAAATCCCCTCCCCATGCCCTTGGTTGGTGAGCATTGTACTATTTAACCACCGACACATGAAGTATATGTTGTTTTTTATACGCTAGATGGGTAGGCTGAATAACTCAGTAATATAATATGCTTTCGTTACTGGTACAATCTATAACAAACTGTTCTATGCTAAATCAGTATTTTTAGGTATTAGTAGAGTTCAGTGGGTAAAACGCCCTCAACTTACTTTCTGCATTAATATGCCTTGATAAAATTTTATGCGTTTTGAAATTTTTACACAGTGATGAAAAAATATAACTCACCGGCAAACTATTCAAGCCACCTCCGACCCCATCATTCACTAGACTATCCGTATGAATCAATCACAAGACTAATTATCGTATTTTTGACTAGTAAGGTTGTCATCTAGTTCATAGCATATATCACTTTTTGCTGTTAATTCAGATGTCTTGATGTTGAGATATGAGTTTTTATGATCATCGATACCACACACCCCATATCCCGCTTTTTCCTTGGAAAAATTTACCAGCATGGATTACAAAAACATTTCAACCGACAACAATTCAAGTTTGTTTTCCATTTGGAGCTATGTCTCACTAATATAAACGGTCGATTACGAACCTCCGGGGTCACAGGTTCGAACCCTACACCATCTAACATGGTTGTAGCAATCAGGTAGTATGATTAGCCGTCAAATAATAAGAGTGTGTGGCTCATTTCAAACAACGTGAGAGTGCTAATTGTCGTTGAGTAGGACAGCCTGTTTTTTACATGAAAACTAGTTTGTTTGAACAATATTCACTAGTTTTCTCACAAGTGTTAACATTTAACATACTCATCCTAAGTCCTAAGTCCAGAACTTCCTGCTGATTGCCTCCAGCTACCTAACATTAATTCAAGGTGTATCGCAATGGCGAGCCGCCTAGCTTGGTGACCACTTTTCTTAGTTGACTAATAGAATTCAGTCTGTACCAGCACCAAGGACTAGACTCGTGACACTAGTTACTCTGTAGTGACGAATCAGTGAGTCATCCTAGTATATATATATATATATATATATATATATATATATATATATATATAGTAATGAGCTACTTCTCACTTTCTTTTTGACCCCGAATAACTGTAGCAACTTAGGGCTTGACTTGATACGAGGGGATGGTCTCCTGTGTAGATTACTAATTGAAGTCAGTTGGAGGATCATTGAAAACTTAGTGCTGAACAGCTGTTTCCTCCAAGTTTGGGACCCTTCAGTGAAACCATCAGGTAATGAAGCGAGTCCGTCGATCGTTCAGTCACTGGCGTGACCGATAAATTCTAACTCTCGTTAGCAGGCGATGTGTAACATAACTGCTTGGTTATACGCTCCATAAATGTTAGTATTTATAAGCGATATATATATATATATATATATATATATATATATATATTATATATATTTATATATTGTACATTGAAAAGTTTACCTGTCCAATAAGAATTAGTTAGCTACCAGGTGAATTTCGGAGATCGCCTAATACATCTCTGCACAATTCTGTTTGAATATGACCTGGAAAACATTCACACCTGTCGTTTGGAGTGATTGGTTCAATGTAGTTTATTTGCTTATCGGTCTTATATCTCCCAATGTGATCCTAATGGTATATATTTATTTCCCTGTACGTAGAATATTCAGGTGGAGTTCTACCGAATTCATTAAATCCTGCTTGTCTTAAACTGGTATAGGGAAGTAAATGTTTCCAGCTCATAAGTTATTTATAGGCAACACCAACATCCACACAGAGCTGTCAATGTACCACTAGCTTTGTCGTTTTTTTATTACTAGAAACTAGTCATGAATACATCTTACGGTCTTCAGCTTTCCAGGTAACGCGTACATATGTGTACATGCATAATTAATGCTCCTTCTGCAACAGCTGTTTAGATTGTTTCACGTTTTGATGGTACACCAGACAGCTGCTTCGTTGTAGTTTAATACTGTTGATCATTACGTACACATCTCACCGAGAATCGAGTCTGTAACCTTCAGGTTACGAGACCAATCCGTTGACTATTCAGCCACTGGGGCGGAAATGTTTATTCCTTTTAGTCTCTATCATTGACGTTCACTATTATAATTGTCATTTGAAGGATTTCAATTTCACAAGAACTGAGAAGCTTTGCGTTTTCTTTTTTCGTTTTTCTCTTAGATGAAGATACCATCAAACTGTAAAATTTTTGGTGGCATTTCTAGTGGCAATTACACAAATATTTGTAATTCATTGTTACTTTAGCACTGGTGTACTTAAATGTTCTGCATGCTTTCTACCCTACTCTATGACACAACACAGAGAATTTCTGAAACCATTGAGTATTCGACTACTATTTCCTTCGCATAATTATTTATATTTAACAAAATTAAATCTTCAGTCATATGTAAAGAGTGAATTCGATGAATGAAGTTGTAAACCTTTATTGACTAAAGTATCTTGAAGATGCTCTACATATCCTAAGTAGCTGTCTTTTTCATTTTTTAGCACATGGTTGGTCAGTAGGAAGTCTAATTATGACAGAATGTGTGAAACCTTTGACTGTTTAGAGAAAATTTATCTCACTGGTTGGGGCATAAGATATAAACGAAGTCGATACTTGTAAAATTAGATAATATGACCAACACTGATCACAGTAGTACAATGAAGCGTCCCCTTTTAACAGTGTCCCTTCATCTAAACAGCAGTTGTGAGATTTAGGTAAAAAGTAGTAGTTTATCATTTTTCTCATGATTTCCTTCAGACCAGTCCCATAAATTCATTACTTTTATGTATTATTCTTGGTATTGAAACATATCTGTCTTGCTGGTTGACGTTTTATCGATTTTTTTCTTTGCCTTTAATTAGCTTAACAGTTTCGTGTTTTCTTCTTCGAAGCCTTCTTGTTAGTTTAAATTTACCCATTTTTGTTTTTTAAACGAAAAGATTAATCTGACATTGCTTGGTTGGTGATGGCCAACAATGGAATCTAGGATGTACGTTTCATCGTATTTGGAACCTGTCGACTTTGTGTACCCTCATTCCCAGTGAATGATGCTTTTCCCTCTGAGACTTGAACCCAAGGTTTCAAACACCAAACTCTTATCCACTAGGCTACTGGGCAACAAAAGCTACTTTCTGTTGTTGTTTATTGGAGCTATTTTGAATTTCTTGTTGACCTACTATACTGGACTGTGAGGCTCGAATTCTACAGCTGATCACTTAACATGGTTATTTCAAGGAATTGTCGTTACACCCGCACTGGAAGTCGACATGTTAACAGAAGCTTCGAGTATTTCCAGTCCAGTATAATCAGTCAACAAGAAGTTAAAATATAAATTGAAAAGAAAGGAAGAGATGCAGTTGTTCTGATATGATTGTGTTGATTATTGTTCATCTCAGCAAACTAAGAAAAACAGTTCCTCTTCTGTTTATATATATATATATATATATATATATAATAGGTACGTTATATAATAATACACTAGATCAAAGAAATTTATTGTTAATGTATTTTTTTCTCACAATGTTCCCTCTGTACTTTTCTCTATTTTTCACTTGGGTTATTTAGTGTATTGATGTTGCTTCTTTTCTTCTCTTTTCTCTTCCTCTTCCTCCTTTTTTGTGTTTAAAGGCGAATGCAGAAAAACAAGCTGGTCTTCCTGTTGCCGCTTTTATGGATCCAGATTGTGTGGTGAAATCCACTAGTCAATTGAATTTTTTAGATTCTATCTTAATTCCTTTAATAAAAGAATTAGTGTATGTTTTTCGTGAATTAAATGTAAGTCTGTAATATTTTCTTCTCCTCTACGCTTTTGTATGTTTTGTTTTTTTGCTTATCGAATTGTCATTGACTTCTTTTGGTGCTGGAATTTTTAAATCAAGGAGTCATTGTTTAAAACATCCGCTTCCTCATATAATTAGTGTACTACTTCATTCATCGCCAGGTAGTTTCAATCTGAAATGGTCTATTAAGTGAAGTGCTTCATTTTCGTCTTTGTTTGTACATCTAAATTATGATTTATTATTAAAAACACAAAGTTTTTTTCATTATGAACACCATGAAATGTGTCATACAAAAGCTTATAGATTATGCTGGGGGGTAGGATACTGCTCAGAAGCCCAGGTCGAAGCAGGTGGTTATCTTGAGGGATCACCCCACGAACCTTTGACTCTGAGTGTGATCCTCAAGATAGTGGAGAATTGTCACGAGCTACGTTCCCATCGTGGTGAGTGCTACTCATAATCAGATATAAGTAGTAAACGAGTTCATAAAAGCAACAATATGTTTCCTACACTGGAAAAAGCAACCGAAGAACAGAACGTTAGAAACACTGTGCAGAACCCAACAAGCTATGGGATGTGGTGATATTCAATCAGTTTGCAAATGATGTGCAAATAAAACATTGGAGATATTGTATACCGAATTGATGTCCCTATAATCAGTTTTTCCTAATAAACATTCCTTCGAGCCTCATCGGTCTTTTCTTCCTTATACCATGGTTGATGGTGACCAAACCAGGTTCATACGCCATTCTATCCTTTCAAATTCTGGAGCCCATAGGTTTGGAATCAGGGTTTTCCAGATGCATTAAATAGACATGGATGTCTACCATTCCAATTGTAAGCACTTTTTTATTCCTTCACGTTCCCAGTGAACATAGGGCTTCAAGCTAGAGGCTTGGTGTTTCTGTAGTGGTGTTCATTTTTGCACGATGGGGTTGGTAGTCTTATGCCCAACCTTTCTTCTTTACCATCTTTATTCCTGGCTTAGCGAGGTAAAGGAGCGCCTCTTCAGGGATCTTCAGGACCACATGAGACGTGGTTGGTGTGCATTCTACCACTGTGCCAGCGACGCACTGCTCTAAGCACTAGATGTTGATATTAACCCTCTCACTTTTGTGAGGAACACTTCGCGTGCGTGAAGACGGTGAATAAGACTTACCTGACACAGGCTGTGAACACGTGACCAAATGAAAGCATTTCGAGTGGGAGACAGAAGTTTACCCATCCTCTGTGGTATGGTGTCAGGTCGTTTGTGGAAGCGTCTATCTAAATACCGTCAAAGAAATTTGCTTTAATAGCAGTTAACAATATAGGAGATATGAATGCATGATTTTGGTTCCTAAGCATATTATTCAATACCTACAGGTGATCAGTTGTCTTCTTCAATATTAAATTGGCAAAATGGAGCCATTAAGAATCAATGGGCTATTCGTTCTCGTCCCTATAGCTGAAATGGTCAATGCTATCACTTTGTAACATAAAAGCCTAGGGTTCCATCCCTAGCACAGTCAAAGTTAGTACTGATGATGAGTTTCGGACCAGGAACAAAATAGCTATTTAGCACTCCCCTTGTTTCCAATTGTTCACTAAATGATACCGGTTCAATATGAAATTTAATTTGAATAGAACTTCCTATAGTTCAAGTTCCAATGATTTTCAATGGCGCTAAACAAAACAGAAAGTTGAATCAAAAAGTGGAAAATTATTCACATTGTACTTTCAAGATAATAGATTTCAAATTAATTTCTGTTACAAGACGATTATGGGAAATCAAGAAGAAGTAGCAGACAGTTGTTTCAACCTAGATTTCTTAAAAAAACTTCTGAAAATGTCGATCGTTTACACCTTGAAGATAGGAAAGATACAAAATGATTCGTTTTTTAACAACATTTCTTGAAATAATATCGATTCATTCTGAAAACTACTTTGAAATAAATTGAAAGATATTTAAATAAAAAGCACACGTTAATGAATTGAGAAGAGAGAGTTAATAAATCAATTGAAATTTACAAGATATCCCTTTCTATTATACATGTGGAGTGAAAAGAAAGTACATAGTCATGTGAGAATTAGTGATTTTTGTTCAAAAGTTGAACAGTATCAGAGCAGTTGTAAATAATCTTCCATCATCTCAATGAAGATTTTCCAACCAGGGGTTCTTCACTCCAGTCAACTATAAAAACACTTACTTGACTCTGGTTAACAGCTACAGGCTTCATGATCTGTTTAAACTCTTCCAAGTATTCGACTACTTCAGCTACTGTTACTTATCGAGCGAGGGTGGTTACGACTCTTCGTTTCCCAAACACATTTGCCAATGAAAAGTTATTATTTCATTGGTTATTATTTATGTATTCCTGTCTTTGATTGATCACCGGATATCTCTCCGACGACTATTGGTAAGTACCAAAGGTATATTATATCCCTGCTTTAATAGAGAAGATTTATAGCTCGGTTGGATGATTTCAATTCGGTTGTGCTCACTGAACTGGATGATTTAAATGCGAAGCTTTCGTTATCCTTTTAGACAACAACTTTAACGCAAGCTTTAATATGAAGCAAACTTATTTTTTGCATTCTCCATGAATGATATAAATATATCTCCTGACGAAAGGTTCAAATTTCAAGTCAATGAAAATGAAAATTAGCATTTAAAGTGACATGTACAGACGACTCGACAATGCCTTTAAGTTTATTATTATTTCATACATTTATTCCCCTTAATGAATTTGAACAAAGCAAGAACAACAGTTTTAGCAGAATAATATGGTACCATCATTTATTTCGTTGGTTTCTCATCAGCTGCTTACAGCCTAAATAAATTATGAGGTTTAAGTACAGACATGTTTTAAAATACTTGCAAATTTTACATGTCAGTTGACAGAAATTTCCACAACTAGTAAACAGTGCTCAGAAAATTGCGCTTATATAGTTTTCACACAGGCAGTTCAAGTTAAAACAAAATAAATGAGAAGCCAACGAAATAAATGATGGTACCATATTATTCTGCTAAAACTGTAGTTCTTGCTTTGTTCAAATTTATTATTATTCCCTTGGGTTCCGAGTAGAATATAGGGCTTCAACTGAACATTTCCACTTTGTCTTGTTCTTTGCAGTCCTTCATCTTCTCACACGATCTCCTCCACGTCACTCTCGAACTCGCAACTCGTCGTTTCTCATTCAGCTTTCACTCATAAAGCTGATGTGAGGTGCCACCCGACGGTCTCCTCAGAGTTTGTCCTATCCATCTCCACTTTCTTCGGGATATTTGTTGAACAATAGGTCGTTGGCTGGTTCGTTCCCAGATATTTTTGTTATTTCTTTCTGGCTGGCCATCTGATCTCCAGTATGGAGCCAGCGAACGCAGCTGTAGATAAAAGTTTGAAGCCTATTGGGAATGCTTTCCGTGACGCGCCAAGTTTCTGACCCATATAGAAGGACTGACATAGCATTGGTGCTGAAAATCCAAATTTCGCCTTTTTTGCTGAGTAGATTTGCTGAAGATTTCTAAACTGATTTCGGATTGATGAAGAGATGTATCTTGCCTTTCCGATTCTAGCTTTGACGTACTCATCCGTTCCCCCTGTAGTTGAAACAACGCTTCTTAGATAAGTGAAGGAAGTGATTTCTTTCAAGTTTCTTTCGTTGATGGTGATTGGTGATGGCTGTTGTTGGTTGGTTATCATCACCAACTCCATCTTCTCTGCGTTTACTTGAAGTCCTGTAACTAGCCATAAGTCATCCGCGAAGTTTATATCTCATAGGTTCTTCTTATCGGTCCAACGTATTCTTGTCTTCGCTCTCCCTGCATACGGTGTGCCGCATAATCCAGTCCACAACAATTAGAAATATCATCGTGGGTGGTAATCAGCAGTCTTTTCTTACTCTTGTATTCACTTCAAGATATTTTGCTGAGTTTTCTGTTGTGGATAAACTGACTCATGGCATTTTCATATAGTTGCTGGGCGGGTGGACGGTATAGCTAACAATGAAATCAAGAAAGCATGTTTTGTCCTGTTTGCGATTCGTGAGGTGGATGTTCTTGTACGTGCACCTGTTCGGTTCCAGTCCGTTGGGGAAAACCATCATTCATAGGAGACGAAGGTACGTCCAGCTGATGAGTCACAAGTAGGATTCTCACTACTGAATAGGTTAGTATGGTTGCTTGAATTTTTCTTCAAATATTTATCCACGTAAGTCGAATTATAATAATTCCCAGATATTTTTCCTTTCCTTCATATGCGACAATTCTAACTGTATATATCAAAGTAGATTAATGTGTATTGATGCAGTAAATTAATTACTTTAAGCTCTGAATGTTCGTCTAGGCATGAAACTATGTTCCGATTCCATTTTTTTTTCGTTTCTGTCATTCTTTTCCAGGTCCTATTAGAAGCTGTTTTAAGTCGAGTAAAGTATTTCTCTCAAATGAGACAACGTGAATTAGCAGAACAAGAAACAAGTAATTGTTTACAAACAGACATGAAAATTAAAATGACAACGACAACGGTTATTTCAAATTCTTTATCATGTAATCAGAAGTCAGGTTCCATACGAGTAAGTCTTTCTCTTTTTTTATTCATTATCGAAATCATATGATCAGTTCGATTGATACTTTCTCTTCTTGTTATTAATTTTTATGATTGGTGGTTTTGTTCTTGTATCATAACTTTGTTCTACTATCAGATATATCATTTTCAGTCTAAATAGTTTCAAAGTTGATAGTTTATGGAGCTCTGTAAGTAACTGGTTTAAGCGAGTGATTTCTAATCATTTGGTTTCATGGGCTCAAACCCTACTTCACTAAGTAGCATTTCACTCACATTGATACTTTGCATAGATACATGATGCTAATATACTGCTTATTGATTTACATGAGCAGTTGTATATCACTCACATCAACCAGTAGTGCTTGCTTGTCAGATCATTGGAGTGATTTAAACAATGGACGGCTGTTTCGCTCGTTTGAGGCCGAGTTCATCACGTGGTTTGACTCAACTCGGAGAACCGAATCAGATCACCGATTGTGGTATGAATAGTTTTCGTTAACACAGGAAACTTTAATTGGTGGATGATGACTAGCAGTAGAATCCAGGATGCGCATTTCGTCCTATTTGAGACTCGTCATATGGATGTACCTGCATTTCCCGGTGAGTGATGATGTTCCCCACCGAGGGCGACATGTCAATCTGAGACCTAGCACTTCGGTTCAATCAATCGACAGGAAAATTTTAAATTCAATTGATTCAACTTTGGTGAAATTTCGCCTACTCGAACCATGTAGATCGCAAATCTGACTTACAATGATCGGCTAGTCCATAGATGGTCACACTGTAAAACAGATCAGTACGAATAACCAAATAATATGAAATCGTCTATTCTTCAATCACTAATGAATGCATAGTAGATTGAATTCTTGATGTCTGTTGTGTGTAAGTGTAGAGCCTTTCAATTTGAAGAAAATTCTATCTTTCATACTTTAAAACAGCTGCAGCCTATCACCCACGATCGTTCATCATTTATTGATTACTTTTCGGTACCCCGTGATACATTAACTTCCAAGAATATTGCAATTTATCGTAAGCACCAGTAAGAAGAATGCTCCATATTTGCACACATTTGAAACCCACGAGTTCTCCTCGTTCAGTAATAGATGAATTATCAAGTGTGCGAAAGAAAGTTTTCTTCGTTTGATATTGTTAATGGGATGAAAATGTATTGTTACTTATTTAAACAGTGACTGTCAATGCCTTCATTTGATTATAATTTTGATTTACTAACACTTGATCGATATTGTTTGGACATTGCATGTGTTCATGCTTATTTTCACTTTCATTGAAAGAAGAAACATTGGCTGACTGACCTATCGAAGGCTTTCACTGGCTCATTTTTTAGCCAACTTCATCAGTGATATACTCAGTTTGACACACTGCAGAGAGCTGAACCTGTTCAGGTCATTCAAATTCCGGCTAGCTACTCAGGCGAACTGGTAACACATTAAATAAAATTCTCAACTTGCAAATTAATTCACTATTTACAGTTTACATAGTTTCAGGTGAAATGTCACCACAGTTTTCCTAGGAAATGGAAATTATTCAGATAAAGTAGATCATATATTGTGACGTGAACAATTTCAGTTTCCAAAGAAATCTGCGGTGAAGTTTCATCTCCAACTGTGTAAACTGCAAATCTCGAATTAATATTTTTGTATTTTGAATTTCATATAGTAGTTCGCATTTTTTTAGCTGGAGATGCAACGTCGCGTGTCTGAATTCTGCTTCATTCTGAACAACTGTCTAATATCATTAGCCCTCCTACGATAAGTGTGTCTCATAGCCCCTAGTACACGAAAATTCTGTTCCGGACAACTAATTTTTCAATAACTAACTAACCAATCATATTACAGCTATCTGTTATGTAAGCTGCAAAAAAAGGAGTATTTAAAATGCTATTCAAACAATCAATCTTACAAACTAACATGAAAAAAAGTTGTCCGCTACGTCAACAAAATAATGTCTAATTATCGTGGTAATACACACGTTTTTTTTAGATATTCATCTGTAAATACAGGAAATGTTTTTACCAAACGCAGAAGTGTACAGCGCCTCATCACAAGTAAAGAGAAATTATGTTTGTCTACAAGTAGGATTTATCGGCGTTGTAATTTATTGTTCACGAAAAATATCCATCCAGACATAGAAATAAGAACAAACCGTTTATTAGTATGGCACATCAAGTACTATGTACAAATTGAGTATGACATTAGCAGAAGAAGATATTTGCCAAGTTTATGGATGTGTGTGTGCGCTGAGTTGTTTTTCTATCATAATAATGGAAAGTAGCGAAATGACTGAAAACCATTACCACTCCCAACAGTGATCTAAATTCAGACAGTATATACAAACTATATTTAATGTTTTGGGGATATGATGGACTGACAAAAAGGTACTAGGAGACCTGGAAGTCGAGTATAATTTATATCTCGTGTCAAACTGACTGAAAGATCTACAGACGAAAACCAACAAGTTGACAAAAAGGACAGAAAAGACATGATTTCAGGTGAAGACAGAGATAATAGAGTTGAGGAATATAACTTACCGGCAACGACAATAAGCACCAATCATTGTCAACAGGATGAATTTTTAGAAAGTCATCTCTTTCAACTTACCTGACCTGAGAAGCATCATTTCAACTACAGGAGGTATGAACAAGGATTTCAGAGACAACCAGGATGGGATTGAAAAGCCAAGGCATATCTTCTGTAATTTTATATCAGTGTGGAAATCCACTCTACTTGGAATCACAGATGAGATTCGGGTCATCAACACTAACGTCGAATCATTTAATGCTTCTGTATGGTTCAAGGAATGGAATCATGCCTCACCAAAAACATTTCCAACAGGCTGCTGTATATTTTCATCAAAGGCGGCTTTTTTACTCCGAATCGATGATCAGATGGCGAGTTGTAAAAGATAAGCAACATGGAAACTATGCCAATGAATCGACCAGCACCCTATCTCCCAAAAAATATCCAGGAGGAAACGGAGATAGATTGAACATACTTTGAAAAGGCTGTTGAGTGACACAAGGTGCAAGACTCTCGAGTAGGACCCCAAGGGGAAACTTCAAATTGGACATGTGCCAGAGGTTGACATGGAGGAGTTGTGTGAAGAATAAAGTAATGCGTATGGGAAATTGTGAAGCCAGGTAAAATTGACTGCAGAAAACAGAATGAAATGGAGGTGTATCATGATGAAGCCTTATGTTGCACTGAAAACTTAACGGGAATAATAATAATATCTTGATAATGGGATATGCGGCGTATGTTGTTGAATCAACCATGGTAAAGATTCCTGTCTGTCGCTTTCCGCTGAAGGAACAGCCAGATGGATAGCTTGATCTGAAATCCAATATTCAAAAGAGTAAATACACTTGCAAAATTTTTTGCTTTCCTCTTCATGATAACAGTTTACCGAAGAATATAGGTGAAATAATGTGAAATTGTTTTTGTCTATTCAACCATTGATATTATTTCAAAATCTAAATTTTATACATTCTCTTTTTTTTAAGTTTTTGGAGATCCTGTTTTTTTGTGTAATTATTTTTCCATTGTTATTTGTATTCACATTTGAATTACTCCCATTCAAGGATATTCGTGCGATAATCTCCTCTGAATCAAAGATCTTACTAATATTCGTAATAATACCATCTACTTTACACCTATAATCTCATGGTAAACTGAATGAATTCATTTCATTTTCTTCTATGAATGGATGCCTTGAATGGATGTTTACTGTTATTGTCTTCTAACTTTTAAACTGATAATGACTTCTAGTATTTGGGATTTATCAACCGGATGTATCTGCATTCTTTGTAGATGATAATTTCTCCATGGTCATTTATATTATCTGTTGTCCTCCATGTCGTTATTATTAGGACTTAGCTATCCTGAATAGATTCATTATGTACTAGGCTGTGAGCCACATACATATTGTATGAAGTCTAATGATACTAACCATTTGAAAATGTCCATGCTGTGGAAGTAGGTGGGGGAGGGTTCGAATCCAGAACCCATCGGGTGAAAGTTGAGAGCTTAAGCCAGTGAGCCATATCTCGGAGGAGATATTCACTTTGTTTGTTGTATATACATTTTGATATAAGTCAACAGCTGTCGGCAGTTGTAACTAGTCTGAAAAACGAAAGAAATTCATATTATAATAGCATACATTTACATCTTTAACTCGCAGATATTCTCTATCGTCTTTTAAGTAATTGTGTTTAGGTCTGCGTCCTCAAGATACTAAGAATTAATGGCTCGAGACTGCTATTGACGTACATGGCTTAAAAGTGTTGTTATCAGTGGCCCCAGATACATTCACTCTTCTTCGTAATGTTCCAGATCCATTAGAGCCTCAATATTCTCCTGTACATTTCTGTTGGTTATAGTTCTTTTGGATTTTATTTTCATTGTCTCTACCTTTGTATACCATATAGAATGTAGCAACTTGAACTACTTAATTTCTGTAGAAAGTTCTACGTTGAAAACTTTGATGACTTTGTTGAGTCAAGATCTAATATTAGTTTTCAGGGATCTTTTTTTTTACAGGTTTGATCACGAGCTGAGGTCAGTTAGACAACTACTTGAAAAACAAGGCGTACTGGACAGCTGTTTTGCCCTAGTTTGGGACTCTTCAGTGGTACACACTGGAGGATCCTGCGTTTAAACCCAGATGGAGCGTACTACAGAAAAGTCCCATACTAGGATAAAACAGCTATCCAGTACTCTCTGATTTACCAATAGTTTTCTAACTAAACTTCCTATCTGTTGTGCCTTATTTCTCATTACTTATGGTTTTAATTTTTATAAAATGCGCTACACACTTCAGTGGTAAACATATCTCATCTGGAGGAATTGATTATATTGAAAAATAGCTGAATCAATAAATCCTGTCCAGCTAGCATTGCTTTGATTCACGCATATGCGGTGCCTTTTTATTTTTGTTTGTATTTTGTAAACAGTAAACTGACTATTTAATTATTTCTGGAAAAATACAATA